TATATATATATATATATATATATCTAACTAAATATGAATTAATGATTTTTTAATAACGAATATAATATTACTAATTTTATATTTTATTTTTAGGATGAAACATGTAGTCAACATGATTGTAATCAACGACATGTATTACTTTATGGAGTAGGTCGCGTTAGAGATGATGCTAGACATATTGTTAAAAGAATGACTAAAGAAGTATGCAAATTATTTGGAAAAAAATTTAGTATTGATGTTGCGGAAGGTGGAAAAGTAAAAAAACATTCTCGGAATGAATTTAACTTCGAAGCAATTACATTAAAATTTCAAAATTTGAGTTATTTTGATCAACATGTAGTAACATGGCAATGTGCAACACAAGTTATAGAAATGTTGAATACTTTTGCGCTGGCTGGATCGTCTTATTTACCGGTTCAAGAACATGTAGCATTTTTATTCGATTTAATGGAATTAGCATTAAATATATATGGTTTAATAGATGTTTGCATACAAATATTAAAGGAACTTCCAGAAGTTGAAACACAGTTAGGAGTTAGAAATAGTCAGCTCGTTAGAAGTTATACTACAAGTTTAAGTTTGTATGTTGTAGGGGTATTAAGAAGATATCATTGTTGTTTGTTATGTAAGTATTAATATTATAAATAAAATTTATTATATATATATATATTTTGTGAAATATTTAAGTAATAGACATTATATATTTAGCTTAATTATTTCAGTGTCTCCAGAACAAACGACGGCAGTATTTGATTTACTTTGTAAAGTGGTAAAGCATGTATCTAATCCTAGCGATTGTAGTTCCGCTGAACGATGTGTATTGGCACATCTTTACGATTTATATTCATCTTGTTCTTTGCTGAAAACGAAACCACATGGAGTGGAAGCATTTAGTAATGCTTATCCTAAAATTCGAACAGCTCTTTATAGTACATTACAACCGACAACGTCGAGTCATGTATATAATTCGCAATTCATGGTGGACGTTTTTACTAGTCCAAGACGAGGAGGGAAAATCGAACCACAATGGGCTAGACAATTGAATGAGACACCGGCAAATCGCTATAGTTTTGTTTGCAATGCAATAGTTGCAGTTTGTAGCGAAACGGATAACGATAAATTAAACGACATCGCAATAACATGCGCAGAATTAACAGCTTGCTGTAATGCACTTAATGCTGAATGGCTCGGAGTTCTTATGGCACTTTGTTGCTCTTCAAATAGTTCTACTTTTTATATTGATGTATTAAATCAAGTTGATGTACAAGATTTAAGCATACATAATTCTTTGGCTGTATTCACATCAATTTTAATTGGTAAATTTTATATTAAATTTATATTTATTAATTTTGTTGTCTTTGTTTATAAAAAAAGTTTTTAAATATTCAACAATTTTGCATTAAATTAAATATATAAAATAATAACAAATTAATAAAAATTAATATATTATTATAATAGACATTTTTGATGAAGTATTAAATTTATTAAAATTTTTATTAATAATTATGATAGATAATTTAAGAATAAATAATTAAAATAATTTTTTTCTGTTTACAGCAAGACATTGTTTCTCTTTAGAAGATTTTGTTGTACATATAGCATTGCCATCATTAGTTAAAGCTTGTAATGAGGGTCGTGGAGATGCAGATATGGAAGCTGAAGCTGGAGCACGTTTAACATGTCATTTACTTCTACGACTTTTTAAAACAGTTGAATGTCCTCAACCAGCACTATATTCTGTGAGCACAAGCCCTCATCCTTTACCAAATGGAAATTCCAGAGGTTACAGTATAAAATTAAGTTGTGACAGACATTTGCTGGCAGCTGCTCACAATAATATTAGAGTTGGTCCAGTTTTAGCTGTACTTAAAGCTATCTTAGTTGTTGCTGATGCAACTGCTGGTAAACAACCACCAAAGAAACCAGATGTACCAATGAATCATTCAAATAAAGCAGGAGGACCAGCAAGTGTTGGTGTCGGTGTTGGTGTGACTACAGGTGGACCAAGTGAATTATCTATTAGCCATATCTTAGGTACCAGTGATATTTTAGGAGGTGGCGATGATTTGGGACTTGATTTAGCAATATCTTCATCTAGTAGTAGTGCTGGAATGACTACAGAAAATGTAAAAGGATTGTCAGACTTTGCACAACATGTTCTTAGACAAATTTGCAGTCAAGAATGGGTACTAGAAAGATGTTTGCAAAATCCAGAAGAACTTTGTCATCCTGATATGTTGCTTGATAATATGCTGACACCTCGTCAAGCTCAACGATTACTTCATATGATTTGTTATCCTGAAACTTCTACAGATGCATTTATTGATCAAAAGACTCACATAACAAATATATTAGAAAATCTGGAACAATGGAGTTTAAGAATGTCATGGCTTGATTTGCAACTCATGTATAAACAATTTCCTCCAGGATCAAACGAACTTTCACAATGGTTAGATACTGTTGCTAAAGCTGCAATTGATGTGTTTCAATTGAATACTATGACTAGTAAATCAGACAAACGATCTGGTTCAATATGGTTAGTTGCGCCACTCGTTTCAAAATTACCAAGTGCGGTACAAGGTCGAGTTTTAAAAGTAGCGGGTCAAGTATTAGAATCTGGAAATTGGTCAAAGACAGCAACAGGTCGTGAGAGAAATAGATCAAAATCACCATCTCTATTTAATCATCAACCTTTCCTTTCGTTAGTACTCACTTGCCTTAAAGGTCAAGATGATCAAAGAGAAGGTCTTCTGATGTCTCTACATTCACAATTATCGCAGTTCTTAAATATTAGTAAAGAAGAGAAAAATTTCGCTACCGAAGATCCTAAAACGAGAGAAGTATTGCAAGATGCATTGCAATTAAGATTTAGTCTCGTCGGTGGAGTTTTTGATACTATACAAAGAAATACTACCGCTACTACAGACTGGGCTATTTTATTGGTTCAGTTGGTTAGCTATGGTGTTATAGATTTAAATAATAATTCCGAATTATTTACCACTGTCATAGATATGTTAGCAACCTTAATACATTCTACATTAGTTTCTGACTCACAATCTGAAAAAGACGAAAATAAGAAACACTATCAAAATTTGATGAAAAAGTTAAAAAAGGAACTTGGTGATAGAAATTCTTCCAGTATTCGATATGTCAGACAATTGTTACCACTGCCAAAATTAACAATGGAAGTTATTACATGTGAGCCAGTTGGATGTTTAACAGACACAAAAGGCAATAAAATAGCTGGTTTTGATAGTATTGATAAGAAACAGGTAAAGAAACATAAATTAAAATATTTTGTATAGTATTTTAATTTAATAAAAGAAAAAGAAAATGATACAAACATATGTTAAATTAGGGTTTGCAAGTATGTGATTCTCAAAGAGTATCTGCATGGGAAGTGTTAGAGGGCCATAAAAATCCAGCACCTATTTCTTGGGCTTGGTTTAGAGCAGTTAAATTAGAACGTAAACCTCTTACATACCAAAATGCTCATAAACTTTTACGATATCATACACATAGTCAAATTAGACCTCCTAGTCATTATTTGGATCCACCACCATTACCTCCAGAAGATTTAGAACCAGATAAAAAGGAATCAGAACCTGGTAAAGCTGATACACCTATGAGTATTGATTCCCCTGGAAGAGTAGCAGGCAGTGTTGGTGGTAGTGGAATTGGTAATACTATTACCAATAGCAAAGGAAAAGCTATGAAGACTCGAAGACATAGAAGAAATAAAGGAGCTGCTACACCTACCACACCTGTTTCACAGCAAATTCAGGTTTTTTTTTTTGACTTTTTATTTCAATTTTTAGTATTTTTTCATATTTTTTAATATTTTTTATATTTTATATGAAGCAACCACCAAATCAATTACAACAAATGGCATTTGGAAATCAACAAGTACCTGTCAGTCAACAACCTGGAATGTTTACTAATCAACCACCACAACATCAACAACCTTGGTATACTAATCAACAAACTCATACACCAGCTCAACAATATGGATATGGTCAACAATTACCACCAACTCCAGTTGGACCAAGATATGATAGGCCAGGCATGAACAATCAATCAAAACAAGCACTTTCTCATATGTTACGTTTACGGTTACCGTCTAATCAATTAATAAACTCTCAACAACAACCAAATGCTACACCTGTTGGTGGACCAGGAGCGTTTCAAGGAATGCAGAGACAACAATTCATTAGGCAACAATTAAGAGCTCAACATGGAGCTCCTAATATTAATCCACAACAAGGAATGTTTGCTTCACAACAACAGCAACAGCAGCCACAACAACAAGGAATGTATACTGGAATGCAACAAGGTAATATAATAATTTATTTTGTAATAAATATCTTAGAGTATATAGTTATAGTATAACATATACTATGAATAATATTTTTTAGCAGGAATGAATCAAAATTATGCAGGATATGGAGGTCAACAAATGATACCACAGCAACAACAACAACAACAACAACAGCAGCAAGCACCTCAACAGGCACAACAGCAGCAACAACTATTGCAACAGCAGCAGCAGCAACAAGGTTTAATAAATCAACAACAGAATATGATGTTTACTAATCAACAACAAATAATGGGACCTCAAAGAGGACAAGAATATATACCACAACAACGTATGCAACCTGGAGCTACAAGACCACCGTACCTTCAGGTACCATTTAAGAAAAAAGTAGATATAATTTTAATAAAAATATTTTTGACAAAACATTTCGAAATTTTTTTTTTTAATTTTAGAATTAAAAATTATTTATATTTTTTAGGCTCCAAATGTCACAATGAATACAATGGGTCCAATGGGAGGTGGAGTTCAAAATCAACCAGCACCACCATATCGACAAACTAGTGGGAAACCTGGTACTGTTGGAGTAACAGGTGTAGGCACTAGTAATGTTGGTTTACAACAAAATCAACAATTTCAACAGGTAAATTTATTATATTATTTTTTTCGTATCACAGATTTGAAATATCTTAATATAGAATTGTATCATATTGAAAATTTTGATTTATTTCAATTGTTCAATATCATTTAAATAACTAAAAAAAAGCAAGTAATGAAATTCTTTATAAATTTTAATTTTTCTATAATTAAAAAAATCAAAATTATAATCATAAAATTATATTATAATTTATCATCATATCATCATAATTTTATTGCATTGTATTAAGTCTATTTATACATATAAAAAAATATAAATACAACATATACATACATGATTAAATTTAGATTAAATTTATTTTAAATAATTAGCTTTAATTATTTGAATTATTAGCAACAGGCGATAAACCAACAACGTATGAGACAACAAATGCTTGCAATGCAACAACAACAACAAGCACAACAACAACAACAAGCACAACAACAGCAACAACAAGGTAATGCTGCTGGACAACAACCAACTCAGCAATTGGTAACGCATTTACAGCGGCACTTGAGTCAACCACCGCAACATTATCAACATCAACCGCCGCCTTATTAGGATTTAATATGTAAATAATTACGATAATTGTATAATTTACATAAAGCGTGTAAATCTAGTTCACAAGAGTTATATAACTTAATTTACAATGAATGTAAAGCGTGCCATGAAAAAGGCAATAAAATGGAAAGAATTTCAGAAAAACATTAAAAACTATTTCTTTGGTTTTTATTTTTTTTTAATATTAATAGTTTATATACAAAAAACTTTTATTTATTTTTTTTAACAGTTTATTATTTATATATTTGTAAATCAAATATATTAAAATACAATTTTTTTTTTGTAAAACTGATAATAAATTGCATATCAATTTTTTGAAATTAATAATAGTAAATAATAATAGTAATATTAATAGTAATAATAATAGTAATAGTATAATATAACTTATTTGTCAAATTCGTTACAGATAAATAATGAATTAAATAAAATTTGATTATTAATATTAATAAAATTTATTATTTTATATATCTACATTAAATATTCTAAATATGAATACAAAAAATAATACAAAAAAATAAATTTATCAATATCTTTATTAATATAAAAATATTTTATATTAGTAAAAACATTTATATAACATTTTTTTTTACAAAATTTAAAAAAAAAGAAAATAACTTTTTAAAATACTGTATTATATAAATTTATTATAGATTAATCAACATTATTACTTAATTTAATAATAAATATATTAATAAAAATATAAACAAAAAGACAAATAATATAAAAACATATAAATAATATAAATATATACAAAAAAATTATTTTTTTTTAATAACCTTTAATAATTATTTATTTAAATACTAAATATATATTTTTTATATAAAATATATATTTTTTATATAAATATAACTTTTATATAAATATATATTTATAAAAAATATATATTATAATATTTTAATTTTTTTTTATTTAAATCTATTAATCTATTAATATTATATTCAGTTAAATTTATTAAAATTTATTTAAATTATATTTAATTATTGTAAATATTTTATTATTATATTATTTCAAATATTATTTTGTTATAAATTTTGATCACATGATTTTGTTCACATCCGATAATTCAACTCAATGAAAATAATTTTATTAGATGAAGTTATTATATATAATATATGATATTAAATGATATTATGTAAAAAAATATATACATTATTCACTGAATTAAGTTATTATATATATAAATATTATATATAAATGAAATAAATATATAAAAGAATTTATATATAAAAGAAATAAATTAAATTATTAAAATTTAAAATAAAAATATGAAATAAAAATGCGCATTTTAAATAACAATGTCAATATTCTATTCACATTTTGTCAGCCAACAACTAATTGTATTATTATATGTCATTTTTCATATTTTTACACTGACATGTGTCTTGAAAATTTTAAAAATATTCTCTTGAAAAAAAATATTTCTTATAATATATTTCTTATATTCGTCCTTCGATAACATTTAAATTTAATATAACATTTTGTTATTATAATTAGAAGAGATATAAAAGATAATTTATTTAAATGAAATAAATAATGCTTATAAATAAAATAATGTTTTGTAAAGAAATAAAATATAATAATTTTTTAGCAAAATTATTATATTCATATTTATGTTATAATAAACATATCTTTTTTTAAATGCATCAGTAAAATTTACATGATATTTCCGTTAATGAAAGTTAGTTCTCTTCCGGTTATACAGCATACTGAGTAAGATGGGTAAGTGGTCGATGTTAAAATTATGTTGTTTTTAAAAATCTAAATTTTTATTATTAAATGTATATTGTTCTTATTGATTATTTAATGCTTTTAATTATAATTTTCTTAAGTTATTTAATAAAAAATTCTTAACTAATTTATTTTAAATTATATTGAATACAATATTGCATATATATCTGTAAAATTAATTAAATTTATCATGGAATTAATGCTTTATTTTTTATAATTTATAACATTTCTTATTTTTTTAATGAGAAATATAAGCAGTAAATTAAAATTTAAAAAAATTAAATAGTATTGAACAAAAATTACCTGTAACCTAACTTTTTATAGGTAAACCGCGTGGTCTTCGTACTGCACGTAAGCATGTAAATCACAGACGCGATCAACGTTGGAACGATAAAGATTATAAAAAAGCTCATTTGGGTACAAGATGGAAGGCCAATCCATTCGGTGGTGCTTCTCATGCAAAGGGTATCGTATTAGAAAAAGTGTATGTATATTTATATTAATATTTTTTTTATTTGAAATATTTTTGTAAATATTTTCATTAAATGTTATTATTTTAGTGGTGTAGAAGCGAAACAGCCGAATTCTGCTATCCGTAAATGTGTACGAGTACAATTAATTAAAAATGGCAAGAAAATTACAGCTTTTGTACCTAGAGATGGCTGTTTAAATAATATTGAGGAAAATGATGAAGTTTTAGTCGCAGGATTTGGTCGTAAAGGTCATGCTGTAGGTGATATTCCAGGAGTTCGATTCAAAGTAGTGAAAGTTGCTAATGTTTCGTTACTTGCACTTTATAAAGAAAAGAAAGAGCGACCTAGATCATAGAACCATTGTCATGTATTTCTAATAAATCTATATAAAAGTTTTTAAAAAAATTAGTATATTATTATTATACCTATAAATATTTTATTTTAATGAAATTACATAAAATATAAATTTAAAAGTTGATTTAAAAAACATTTAAGAAAATTAGTATTACAAATTAATTTTCCAGCTTAACATTTATAGCTTCTTCGGTATTTCTCACAGTATTTTCAATAATTTCACTTAATGGAGTATTTGATTTCTTTATTTCTTTTGGTATATTGGTCTCCAATATTTCTTTCCTTGCTTGTAGAAACTAAACATTAATTTATTATGGAAATTATAAATATTTTTATAAATTATTATATTATAAATTATAATTATAATTTTATAAATTATAATGTTAATATTAATAGATAAAAATATAAACCTGTATTAAAGAAGAAAAATTTGTGTATATATCATTAATATCAGCATCCATGGAATATATATTATTTGTCACAGTTTTTGCATCAAAAATTGATTTGCATGATTCAATTGATAAAAATGTTTCTATAAATTTTTTTTTCTCTTCATTAAATAATAAATCTTGATCAACTTTATTATTTTCCTTATTTTCATCCTATATTTTTTATATTTTGATATATTATTTTAGCATAAAAAATATATAAAAAAATATTCAGGCAAATAAAAATATAAAATTTAAAAGATAATTCTAGAAATTAAAACAAATATAAATGTTCATACAAAAATATCTATTGAAACTTACTTTTCAAAAATTATAAATAATTCAATTATATAGATGAAGTGAGATAATTTATCTTCTAATATTTTTGTAAATCAATTTTTATATTTGTTTCATTTCAAATATAATTCAAATATTCTGTAATATTATACAATATATAATGCAATCAACAGAGAAATGATTATAATATAAATTATTAAATTAATTTATAAATTATAGAAATGAATAATGCATTAAAAAAAAATTTGAAAATAAATATATTAAAATTAAATATATGCATATTTACTTGATTTTCTTGAAACCCAAATAAAAAATATGTTAAATATATTATGATACAATAATATATGTTATATATAATATAAAATATATTTACTTACCGTTTCATAAAAAATCATTTCTTTTTCAGTTATATTCCAATTACATATCACTTCACATGGATCATGTTCCATTAAATATTCTTTGTTTTCAGATTTATAAATTGATGATAATTCTTGATGTTCATTCAAACATTTTTGTAAATTGTCAAAATATTCTATAGATTCAGAATAATTTAATTGAGGTTCAATATTATATGTGAATGTACTTGAATCTTCAATTGTATAAACCTGACATAAAAATATATATATATATACATATAAATATATAAATATTATATATAGTAAATATATGATATATAAAGCATAACAATAAATTTTTCAAAAATATTTGAAAAATATTTAAAAAATACATCGAAACATATATAGAATGTACAAAAAATCTGAAATATATTGTAAAATATTAAATTTTTCAACATTTTACATATATATATATATATATATATATACATATAGATTGCTAAAGATTCAATTTCAAAACATATAACAGAATTTCATTTAAAAATAATAAGTGTTATTTTTGTTTTAGAAATTATATATATATCTAAAAAACTTATTATATTGTAAATAATTATAAATAATTATTTTTATGTTATTTAAAGAAAAAGAGTTACATAAATACATATATTAATTTTAAAGATAATAACTTAATTATGCTATATATATCTCATTTAATATATATAAGTTTAAATTATATATTTATTTTTCAAATATTTATTTATTACATTTAATATATCATCAGTTGATTTTTTTATATCATATTTAATTTCAGAAGATTCTATGAATATACACTTTATAAAATCTAATAATAATCTTAAAGTTGGAATTTGTTTTTCCAATGAACAATTTCCCTGTAAATGAGTACAATTTTATTATATACAAATAACAAAAAATTAAAAAAATAATATAAGGAATTGAATAAATTACAAACCAATAATAATTTCTTATTACTGCAAATACCAATTTCAGAATAAGACATTAATAATTCTTCTATAAAAAATGAAAATCAATCAATAATTCTTTTGTAAAAAAAATCTTATATATTATAATGTATAAAATATTAAATATTGTACAATTATAACAAACCTTCTAAAGCAGTGCCTTTTAATTTTTGTAATTTTACAGCTGTCGCAGGAGATTTTTCAGCCAAAAGCCAAGACAATAACGAAAGTCGATTTTCTCCACTAAGAATTGTTAATTCTAAATTTTTTATTGACGCTGTTGTAATTTTTGGATATCTTATTTGTACTAAAATGTTATAAAAATCGGTCATAAGTTCTTCTATATTACTCATTATTATAAACACAATATGCTAATCTTTGTTTTGTTATATATAAATTATATTTTATATCTCATTTATTTTATTTTTGAATCTTTTAATATATATCTTTTTATAATAATTTATAATAATGCAAATTAAATAAAAGAACGCATAGTTAATTTTACAATTCAAAGTAAATTACTTATAAATGTATAATATCTATAAAATTACATGTATTTTAGTACTATGTGTTGCTGGTAAGTTGGCAATGAAAAGAATATGGATTTGATTGGTCAATTTTAAATCTAATATACTTATAAAAATAGCACGCATATTTCACATTTTATTAATAAAATTGTATCACAAAAAAAACAAAATTTTATAAGAATTAGAAGTTTATTGCAAAAAATTTAAATTTTTATATTTTTTTGTAATAGTTTTAAACATATCAAATAAAATGCATAAAAAAACATAATGCATAAAATAACATCAATTATATTTTGTTAAAAAGTATAAAATTTTATTGTCATATTATTTAATAAGTATACAATTAAATAACGATTATTAAATTTATGTATAATTAATATTAGCTAATTCCTTATAACTATAAAATTTAATTATCTAATAGTCAGAAAATATTGCTTTCTGTTTGTTAAAATATTTTTGAAAAATTATGATACAAAATATATTTTTTTTAATTTGTACTTTTGACCAGTTTTAATATAGTACACTATTGTTGACATGGATGATGGTGATAACATTATTATTAACATTATTATTAATCCAGCAATCTATTTAAAAAAAACAAATCAAATTTTAAGATAGTTGTATAATTGAAAATATATAAATACAATGTAAATACCTTGGCTTTTTGACAAGTTCATCACATTTTTCTCTTTCTTCTTCTATATTTTCCACAAACAATGTACGATTTAACTAAAAATAAAAGACAAATATATAATAATCATATATATTTTATAATGTAATTTTAAATAATCATCATTGTAATTAATTATAAATTTACATTTTTTTTATCTCTATTTTGACAATGTTCCAGAGTACATTTACAATTATTGCCACATATAGCTTTTCTTTTACGACATTTGCAAATACGTGTAGCACAAGTTGTTTTACAATTACATTTTATATCACCATTTAATGTTTCTTTTAATGACATATCTTCAAATGGCAAATTTTTCGTTGTATTCTGAAAAATTATATTATTAATCCAATTATTACAATTAAATAAGAAAGAATATTGAAAAAATATGCTTAATCAATGAATTACTATAAGACTTTGTACGCGATTGTAAAGTGGCGTTCGTTTCCAATCTGGATCTTTTTCAATATCATCATCCTCTTCATTAATACTATCATCTGTTAAAGGAAACTCTTCTATCTCTGCTTTTCTTACTGTTTTTGGTTTTATATTTTCTTTATTTTGTATTTTATTTGAGAGCTGAAAAATTCCGAAAAAACAACAGAATAGAACAATTATGATATTTTAATTGATTTAATAATAAAACTGAAAACAATATTAACTGTTTGTTCAAGCTTTTGACATTTTTCTTTGTAAAGCTCCAATTCTTCTCTTAATTTATTGTTATCTTCATTTTCATATTCTTCTATACTATGTGTATCATTTAATACAAGTTGCTTTGACATGCATTCTTCTTTCTGTCTAACATAATATTCATCCATCTGTGTTTGCAACAGTTCATATTTTTCCTAAAATTATATTTATTACTATAATATTTATTACTATAAAATTATGATGAAAAACTATAATAAAAAGTTTAAATTGAAAGATAAATTATATAAAAAAGATATTATACAAAGAATTAAATTTTTTCTCACATATATTTTATTATTCATATATACAAACCATAAATTCAGATTCTTTTATACATTGCTTTCTTCTATCTTCTTCAATATATTTAAATAATAATTTCAAAATAATTTTTGCTTCTTCCATTGAATGTATTTTTTGCCATCTTAGATGTGATCTATTTTCTAAATCAATAAATATTTATATGAAAGCATATTCATAATTCATTATAATTAATAATTATAAAACAAAATATATATTAAATATATATTATATATTTAGAGTATAGAATATTTACCTTGATCAGATTCAATTAGTTTTTGTTGAAGATCAGTAATTTGTGTATTACGTAAAGTTAAAAATTCATTAAGTTTAGCAATTTTTGTTTCATTTATATCATTGCTATTTTTAAATTTTTCTAACATAGATGTTAATGATGCTCTATCTTGCATTAGTTTTTCGAGAGAATATTCTGCATCAATGGTGCTTATTAATATTTCTATTTCCTGGGTCAACCAACTTTTGATTTTTTCAGTGTTAGTACTATTAATTTTTTCTTTTCTCATAATTGCTTTTTTTTGCAAATCAAGTGCTTCCTAAAAATAACAAAGTAATAAAAAAACAAAATTAATCAAAGCTTTATTTATTATTATATATAATTAAATTATAGCAAATATTTTATTTAATTTATTACTTTTAATCTTTTATTAACAGCAAAAGCTTCTTCCATTTTTCTTTTAAACACAATCTCTTGTTTGTTATGCCACATTTTTAAACGTGTCACTTCGTTCACTTGTTTTCTATTTTGATCTTTTAATCTGTTTAATTCTTTGTTCTTTGATTCTTTCCATTTTGTAAATTTATCAGATTCATTGCGCATTTGTCTAATTAATTTTACTCTTGTTTGTTTTAATAATTGCATTTCATTTGTTAGATTTTTTATTTGTTGATCTTGTTTGTCTTTCATTTTGACTATTTTATCTTGTTCTGTTACCTTCCGTCTTAATTCTGTTATTTTCTTTTCTAATTCTTGTACCTTTTTACGTCTACTTTCTGCCAATCTACAAAATATATAATATAAAATATAAATTTCAAAATTTAAAAAATAATACTAATTATCATGATTAAATAATAAATCATAATTTTGATATTTAATTAAATTTCATACTTTGAGCTAACATTATTTGTTTGTACATTTTGTAGTGCTTGCAAAAGTTCTTCTTTTTCCGCCTGAAGTGCTTTTATTTCCTGTTCCATTTCTTGTATTTCTTTAGAATAATCAACGATTTGAGATGAATTTTTTAAAAGTTGACATATAAGACTTTCCTTAATAGCGAGCTCCTTATTAATATTTTGTACTTCATTGTTTCTTTTAACTTGAAGCAAAGTATGTTCTTCTTGTTTTTCATCAAAATCATCTAAACTATCTGGAGAACATATTTCCTCCATAGATGCATGTTCTATATTTTCTTCACGGTTTATTGTAAATGTATTTGCATTAACGGACGTTATTCCATAATTTATAAGTTCTTCTGATGTCTTTTTTTGATCATTTTGAATATCTATTTATTATAAATAAAAATATTTTATTTTAAATATTTTATATTATTAATTTATTACATTAAATTATCTTTTCATCGAGTATCAAATAAGATATTTTGTAACAAGTAAAACTGTCATTAGATAAAAATATCTTTTGCAATATTATCCAACTAATGTAAATAAAAGAAATATCTAATATAATATTATAATATATTATAATATTGTAATATTCTAAATAAAATTGGTTAAAGAATAATGGAATTTTATAATTATTCAATAAAATTGTTGCGAGCTATGACATAATTTTTTTAATAAATTTAGTTATTACAAATAAAATGAGATGATAAAAAAATAAAAATTTAACTTTAATTTTCAAATCTAATTTTTCAATTTTAAATATCTTTTCTAAATATCAAATCAAAGTATAAAATTATAAATCTATACAAATTGTAACGTATATATTTTTTTATATTTTGTATATGTTAAAGAAAAAACTTATTACTTACCAAGAATTTTTAAGTACAAAACTTCTAATCTTGTTCGATATTCATGCTTGTCAAGATTTTTATCAAGATCATTTAAAAGTTCTTTACATTCTTCTAATATCTTTATCATATCAGTCTGAATTTTTTCTCTTGCTTGCTCAGCTAATTCTGCTCTCTCATGCATGGTTACAGCTTCAATTAAATTGCTATTTAATTTTTCTGTTAAATCTCTTATTTTTTTTTGCAAACATTGATTTTTTGCTTCAAGTTCTTGATGTTCAATTGGACAAGAAATTTTAATTTCATGATCCACTAAAGCAACTTTTAATTCTTGTACTAATTTATTTAAGCGATTTATTTCTGAAATCTTTGGATCTTGATTTATTACAGGTTTATTCTTTATTTTACATGCTCTATCTGCATATCTTAATGTACTCAAAGTTTCATCTAAATTATAATCTGAAAGTATTTCAAATGAAACAAAAATACTAATTTTAAAAATAAAATATATATTATATTTATAATAACCTGCTGGGCTAACACATGCTATCATGAGAGTTATGGAATTACCACCCAGAGAATCTTGCAACAATCTTGTCAGTTTACTATCTCTATAACCAACATATGTTGTAGAACCACCTTCACCTAATTGAGAGATAACATTTCCCAATGCCAATAAACCTTTATTTATATTAACTCCTTCTTTAAATCTTTCACCAGTTGCTTGAGTTTTTTTACTACGTTCAGATCCAGCTAAATCTACTAAATGAAACTTTGCAGTTGTTGCTGTATTGCTAAATTATATTTACGAAAAAATAAAATATTAAAATATATATTATAAATGCATAAAAATTAAAATTATATTATAATTTTATATTTTATATTATAATTTTTAAATATATAATGCTTACAGATCATCTTTTTGATGTTGATATATGCATAAAGTAAATATTGCATGACTTCGACTACTGTTTGCATTCATTGCAGTTGCACCTGTTGCACGTCCTAAAGATCCTTGTGTTAAACAATTTAATGCTTGTATTGCATTTGTAACTTCTTTCTCCACAAGTCCAGTAATTTTTATATTTTTACCATCATCTCTGATATCAACAATAGATTGACTTCGTTGTTTATCAGTTAATAAATCATACAATTGTTCTTGATAAAGTTCCATAAATGAAACTGTAATTTTAAAATTCCAATCTTCCTTTGATGAAATTATATTAAATATATCATGTACTGCTCGTGGTATAATACCCATATCTTCTTTTTCAATATAATTTGTACCCATTGAATGAGTTTTACCACTACCTGTTTGACCATAAGCTAATATAGTAACATTATAGCCTATAAAAAAAAAGATATATAACCATTTGTTGAAATAAAATATAATTATAATATTTTATGGAATTATTTCAATAATATAATTTTACCTTGAAAAATATTTTTTACCATATCTTTAATAGCAGTATCATAAAATTCTTCTTGATTAACATCAGATGAAAATACATAATTAAATGTAAAAGCTTTAGCTGTATTACATACAATTATTTGTGGTTCACCAGGAACCACATCTAAACATGTTTGACAACCTCGTTCAATTTCAGTTTTTACTAATGGACGAATACGAACAGCAACTTTAACTGAATCTTCACTCATCTACATTGAAATGTATTGTATTTTTAAATAGATAATTATACTTTAGTTTTCATAAAATATATAATTTTTATAAAATATTTTATAATTTATTTATACAATAATATATTTATATATATCGCATAATATTATATATATATGTATTTATATTATTCAAATTCAAATTATTTTATTTTAAATTCTATATTATTTTATAATTTTTATAATACATTTATTTATAATGAAAACCTTAATAAGAATTATAATTATAATTTTTAATAAGAATTATATGTTATTATTATTATGCATTATTATTATATATATTACTATTACTATATATATTACTATTTCCAAAAATAATATAAGAATATAAAATATATTACAATTTCTTTTTTGAATATAAATTTAACAAATTGTTTTTCTCATATCTTATTTCATTAAAAAAACTGTAACTATTACCTGATTCATTTTATAAGTTACTTTGTAAGTTGGAGGTAATAACATTTAGTTACCTTTAGTTTATTCGTTAAAATTTCGTATTTATATTTATATTATACTTTATTTTGTATAATAATAATAATAACAAATATAGATTTATAATTACTGATTTCTAAACTCGTCCACCAACCGTTGTCAATATATTTGAAATTATGCGGTTTCGCATGAACTATATAATTACATGTATGATATATGAATTTAAAATTGTTCAGTTTTTTAATTGGTTATTATTTGTTACATTAATATATTTTTATAAATTTTAATAAAGAGAAATTTTATTAATAAAATAGAAAGGAATTTTTTTTAATAAAATAAAGTTAAATGAAAAAAATAAAAATCAAAAAGAAATAAAAAAATGTAAGTTAAAAAAATAAAACGAAAAATTATTATTTAGTTTAAAAAATTATGCTATAGTTTACTTAATCTTTCTAATTTATGTCATATTTTTTTTTTAACATTTGTAGTAAAAATATATTAAGCAATAAATATATATTTATATATGCCTGATTCCGGCATTAAGATTTTAAGTGCGAAATTTTCATGTATGTATTTAACATAGTCATTACGTGTTAAGAGATTAATAAAATAACTATAATTATCTATATTATTATATATACTTAATATATAATTAGAACATGCATAATTAAAAAATTAGAAATTTATATATCAGTCATTATAACATTTGGTTTGTGGTAGACTTTTGTATAATTATTAATTCATGGTTATATTTATGTTTACAATAAAAAGGTGCACGATAATTATACATTTAGAAAGCAAATAATTAAAAAATTGCTAATTTTTTATTTTTAAATCCATAGAAAAAATTCATAGAAATGATTTCTATAAAAAATAAATAATAATTTGGAAATCAGTAATTATAAATCTGTATTTGTTATTATTGTTCATTATTATAATAATTGCAATGAATATTGCCTGATTGTAATATCATGTAACTTAAATATCTTATGAAATCAATTTGCAATTGATATTTTTCTGCAGTTTTTGAATTTCCTACAATATGGCTTTTAAATCATTCTTTCATTTAGGCAATAATACATGTAAATGGTAAGATAAGTTTTTATATTTATATTTTTATGTTCATCAATAATTTTAATTATATTAATTTATTATTTTTTTAGTGTTTTTATGTCTATACAATTTAAATCTAAATTATGTATTATTCAAGGATATACACAAGGGTATAGACAAATTAGAAACATTCATAAATTGAGAGGTAGAACAAAGCTATCTATATCAAATGACTTTGTTAATAAACAATCAGGATATACCTCCAGTTTATGGAAACCATTTACTTTTACTATTGTGGTAAGACATTAATATAAAATAATATAAATATTCTTCTTTTTCTTATAGTTAATTGACAAAATCTTTCTTTTTTTATTAAAAACTTTTTATTTATTAAAAATTTTTAAATTAAAAACTTGTTTTATTTAATTATTTTAATATCATAAATTCTTCTTTTTTCATTAATTCAGTTTAGTGCAACAACATTTATTGCTGCTGCAATTTGGGAATATGAACATATTAGAAAAAAAACCTATAGTATGATCAGAAATTATAAGCAATGGGGAATACATGTTTGTATATTGAAATTACATATAAAATTTTATACGTAAATAAAAAATGATGTTCTTTATATTTTTATTATAAAATATTAATTTCATTTAGCGAACAGGATGGAGACATAAAATGGAAACTTGGTGGAGAAATTTATCAGAAGGAGAAAGAATATTTGTTCCTATATGTTTTTTAAATGTGCTAGTATTTTTATCATGGCATATACCTGCATTTCGACCAACAATGTATCGATATTTTTGTAGCAATCCTACATCTAGTAAGTAATATATAAAATATTCATTATAATATAGATTTTAAAAGTTATTTTAAATTTTATATTCTGATTAAGACCGATGTTGGCCAATGTTATTCGTAACATTTTCTCATTATTCCCTTCTTCATTTAATTATCAACATGTACGTATTATATGACTTCTGTAAAATTGCTGTTACGGAATTGGGTAGAGAACAATTTTTGGCCCTTTATTTGACTAGTGGAGTAGTATCTAGTTTTTCAAGTTATTTATATAAAGCTTCAGTTGGTATAAAAGATCCTTCTTTGGGAGCTGTGAGTATCCATATTAAAAGTTATACTTAAAATGTTTTTATTTATACTAATACTTGCACTATAGTCAGGAGCAATAATGGGTGTCCTTGGATTTGTATGTACTCAGTTTCCAAATGTATATCTGTCTATTGTTTTTCTTCCTATGTTGAAATTTACAGCAAGTTCGGTATGTTAATATATTAATAATTTTAATCATATAGGTTTAAGTTTCATGAAATAGATTTTAATAATAGATTTTAATAAAAATATTTATAAAAAGGCCATTAAAGCTGTAATGGGACTAGATACTGTGGGATGTCTTATGCGTTGGCAACGTCTTGACCATGCTGCACATTTAGGTGGAGCATTATTTGGAATGTAAGCATTCATATTCAAAACTTATATGAATCTATATATTTCTTACTTTTGTTTATTATAGATTTTGGCAAATGTGGGGTAATGCCAACATATGGCAAAAACGTGAACCGGTATTAGTATTTTGGCATCAACTGCGTGAACCACCTAGGTCTCATTAATATCTATTTGTTATATATAATTGATATTAATATATACTAATATATATTTTTAATATTATGAAAAATTGTAAATTTATAAAAAGTGAAATTATATAAAAAAGAAAATGAATTTTATTTTATAATTAATTTAGTATTAGTATTATTAAAAATTAAAAAGTAAGAAACAATAAGTGATAATATTAATGAATAATCTCTTTAATTAAAACTTAAAAAAAAAATTATAAAAATAAAATTATTTTAAAATAGTAAAATAAAATAATTATTTTACTAATTATTTTGATATTATTATTATTGAAATGCTTATTTTTATCATATAAAAATACCAAAATTTATTACATTATTCATATTATTCATTTATTTTTTAATATCAAAAACATTTAAAAAATAAGTACATATTAACATTTAAGATATTTTACATGATGTTTAATATGATCTTCTATGAATGTGGATATAAAAAAGTAGCTATGATCATAGCCTTCTTGAAATCTAAGAACTAATGATAATCCAGCATCTTTTGCAGCAGATAACAAATTTTCTGGCAATAATTGGCCATCTTTTAAAAACTTATCTTCTTTTCCCTAAAGTTATATATTACATTTATTTATTATTATAAATTTTCAGCACAATTATTTTTATTATACCTGATCAATCAAAATATCCAAAGGAGGCCCATTGTATTTTTTAACCAATTCTGTAGCATCCCAATTTTTCCATGTAATATTAGTTTCTGATCCACCCAAATAACCAGTAAAAGCTTTTTTCCCCCATGGACATAAAATAGGATTACTTATAGGTGCAAAAGCAGATATAGTTTTGTATAAACCAGGATTTTTTAAAGCACATATTAAGGCTCCATGTCCACCCATACTATTAATAAAAATATTTACATAAATAAATTATTGTATTATATTGTGTTATATTGAACAATATTGTATTATAATTTTTAAATGATTTATGAATAGAATAAATTGAAAAATATATTATATTATATTATATATATATATATATAAAAGATAAATGAATAATAAATCATTTTTTCCAATTATTTAAAAATATATATAACTTATGTAAAAATATCATTTTTTTAAATAAATTAAATTTTTAAAAGATTTAAAATAAAATTAAATATAAATGTTTTTACTATGTTTTGAAATGGATTTAATAATAATGATTCAATCTATATCTTAATAAATGGAATTAATTTTATGTGAATTATGTGATCTAATTAAGTAATTATCTTTTGTGTTACCTATGACCCATTATGGATTGTTTGTATGGTAAAACAGGAAATTTTTCATTAATCAAAGCTGGTAATTCTTTAGTAATATAACTGTACATTCTATAATTTTTTTTCCATGGTTCATTTGTTGCATCAATGTAAAATCCAGCACCAGTTCCAAAATCCCAATCATCATCTTCTCCAAGAATATTAAGATTACGAGGACTTGTATCAGGTGCAACTAAGATAACACCTTGTTCAGAAGCATACTTTTGTGCACCTGCTTTTTGAATAAAATTAGCTTCTGTACATGTTAAACCAGATAACCAATAAATAACAGGTTGAGGCCCTTCTTCCACTTGGGGTGGAAGGAAAATTCCAAAATTCATTTTACATCCCAATTCATAGCTATATTAAAAAATTATTTAAGTAATTTTATTTAAACAATTTTGTATAATAAAATTACAATACCTCTCATGCAAATAGACTTTTTGCCATCCGCTAAAAATTTTATTGCTAGAAACTTCGACAATATCTGGCATCTGAAAATATTTTCCAATATTAAAAATAATTAATTATTTATTTTTTAACTACTTCTTATATTCTTTTTTTAAATATTGTTTTTTTTTTCATTATTAGAAGGTTAGATATCATTAATAAAAAATGAAATAATTTGATATTTGAAATTTTATATATTTAATGATAAAAGAAATAAAAAAATTAATTATATTAAATTAATGAATCCTTTTTTACTATTCTTTAATTTATTAATATGTTTAAAATATAAATTAAATATTATTTTAAATAATATACTCACTTTGTATCGTAAAATATTACGTAGAATATTTGTGATTTCTTATGAACTTTGATTATGAGATTCATGACATAATAAAAATATCAATTATATATTATCTAATAAATTGATAATAATTTTTTCTGACACGTTTGTATACATTGAATTTATGTTATGTTTACATATTATTTTAATAAGAGAAAATAATATAACCTCAAAATAATTAGACTTATGACTATATATATATATTAAATGGTTTTTATAATTTTAAAAAATTTATATTCTAATTAAAAATAATTTCATTAAGATTTTATTTTTTTAATATCATTAAAATTCTTATTTGTATGCTATTTTTGGCAAATATACATGATAAAATAAAATTAATATATAATATTTATAAAATTATATTAAAAAATTTTCTTTGTTAATTGTGCTTGTACAGAAGCTTTTACAGATAGTTGCTTTTGTTTTGTATTTCTTATTGTGTTTCTCACTGGTAGAACTGAAATATAATAATAAATAATATAATAAACAAATAATAAATTATATATAAATTAATTACAATACATTTTATGATATACATGTATAATAAATATATATTTTTATAACATACTTTCAAATTCTGGTTGTATATTAATAACATGACTAATACTTTCTTTAGATGATTCATAAGTACTTTCACGATTTGTACTTTTTGGTAGACATTCTGATGAATTTGTATGACTATGGGAATGATTTGATAAAGATTGACTAAATAAAATTGCAGAAGGTAATTCTATATTTTGAGCTGCTAATAATTTTCTAATATAAGATTCAACTTCTACATGAGAGACTGTAAATTCTGCAATATCTTGTAAAACAATGGAATTTTGTTCTTGAAGTTCACGTAGCTCTATCTCCTTCTATTAAATGAAAATAAGTTAAGATAAGTTTACAAAATATGTTAGATAATTTACAAACCTCTTGTATAAGAACATTATTATCTCCTGTAGTTTCATATAGCCGATGAATACTTTTTTTAGCATTTTGTAAATTTTTATCAGCTCTAGATATTTTTTCTTTTTGCTCATGAATTTGATGCTTTAAGTCAGTTAAATATTGAGTTTTATTTTCTTTACATTCTTCAGTTTCTTCTATATTCTTAAGAATTTGTACATATTTATTTTGTATTTTCTATAGAAATTATTTTATTTTAAGATTTAATATATTTTTTATTATATAAAATTTTTTTTTATATGAAACTAAATATTATAAAATACCTGCATATTTTCAGTTAAAGATTGTAATTCTTCTTTTTTTTGATTTAAATTTTGTTCAACATCTTGTAATTCTTTATCCAATTTTTTATGCTCTTCTACTTCTGATATGTCTTGGTTATTTGTACTTAATGTTATCTTATATTTATCATTGCAAATATTTATCACACGTAATGTATTTTCCATAGCTTGTATTTCTTCTTCAGTTTTTCTTATTGTTTCATCTAATTTGTCACCTTGTTCTTGTAAAAGATATCTTTCTTGCGCATTTTGAATTTTCAAGTGTGTAGTATTCATTGGAGTACCATCAGGATTAGTACCTAACAATGCAGTAGAATTATCATATCTTGCTTGTAATTGTTTTATTCGTATTTTTCTTTCAGCAATAGCATTTCTTAATTCTGAACATTCACCGTCGGCAACTCTTTTTTGAATATTTAGAGATTCTTTTTGCACTGTAATTTCTGCTTTTCGTTCTCGCACTGCCTAAATAATTTTACATTCTAATTTAACATTTTTAATTGCAATATTTTTATTATTCTTATAAATAATATTTTATTAAAAACTTACTGCTTCTAATTCAAGTTTATATTTTTCCAAATCATAAACATTATTTCCAATATTAAATATCATTTTTTCCATTTGAGATACTTTAAGTCGTAACATACTTTCTTCTACTTGTTTTTCCTCATAACGATTTTGAACAGCTTTTAATTCTTTTTCTCCTACATTCATAAGAAGAACAAGATTTTGTCTTTTATCTCTTAGGGATTCTAATTCACTATTACTACTTGTTAAATTGTTTGATATTTTTCTCATATTATCCTACATAATAAAAAATAGATTTAGTGCATTTTAAATAAAATGTTTAAATAAATAAATTAATTTTAAACTATATACTTCTAAAGTTGTAATTTGTTTTTGCAATAACTTAAACACATTTGTTTTTTCATCTAAATTATTTTGAAGCTCTTCTATCTTTTCTTGTTTTTTCTCACTTTTAGACTTATCATATTCATGACCTCTTAATCTGTTCAATTTCATTTCATATTTTCGAATTTCAAATTCTGTTTGATACCATATTTCTTTTTTATTTTCCAAAATTTGTTCGTCTTTAATACATAATTTATCTAATAAATCACATTTTTTAAATTCCCTTTCAAGTTGCATCTTTAAAATTTTCTCTTCGTTTTCTAAATCCTTTATTTGAGTCATTGTGCGTAGATTTGTAATTTGTAATCGATTTATTTCTTTGATTATTTTAGCTTTTTTTTTCTCTTGTTCCTATATTATATATATTTTAATATGTTACTTTACTTTATTCATTAATTATTATTTTTTTTTTAATAATAAATACCTCTATCATATCCTCAAGTTCTTTTGCTTTTTCTTCAATATTTAATTTTTGACTTTTAATATCTTCTAATTTTATTGTTAAAGCAGTTATTTGTTCATTTGCTTTATCTATTTTTGTATTTTTAGTTTGAATTTGCAATTTCTTATGTTTTACATCAGTTCTTACTTGTTCCACACGTTGGGTTAAATCTTTCATTATATTTTTCTGTATAAGAGACTAAAACAGAAAAAATTTTAGAGAAAAAAGTCTTTAAATTAAATTTTATTAATAATATTTTTATTTATATTCTTACCTGATTTTCACATGTGTTAATAATTTCTTTCAGTTTAATTTGTTCTTCTTTCATAGAACTAAATTCTTTTTCTAATTTTGTAATTGAATCTTGAATTTGTTTATTATTTGCAATTTGTTCTTTTAAAAATTTTTCAGATTCTTGAAGTATTTTTTTTTTATCTTGAGAAATATCATTTAATACTTCAATATCCTTTCAAAATAATTTATTATTATTTTATAATAATTATAATATTATTTAATAAAAATCAAATTGAACAAGAATTTTTTAATAAATATTAAAATTATAAATATTTATTTTCGTTATTCTTTTAAAATGATAATGAAAAAATAATGAAAGAAATATTTTTTATATATTAATTATCTTCGATTTCATTTAATATTATTAATATTAATATTCAGTATAGAAATTTTGGATATCTATGAATCAATAATCAAGTATTTCTTCTAAGATTTTAATAAAGTTTTAAATAAAAAATAGTACATTATATTTTAATATTAAAATTGTGCATTTTCATCTTCGTATTTAAAAGTATTAAATCATACATTGACAATTAATATTTATTGGTATTTAAAATATTATTTATTTTCTATGAAAATGCCTAAGAAAAAAATGTAAAAAAATATTAATTTATTATATATTTATTATTTAATTAATTTATTAAATATATTTATTAAATAATTTATTATGTTCATTAATTTTTAAAATAAAAAAAGAATCGAACTCATGCTTATTAGACAAAAAATGTTTCTTTCATTATTCTTTATTATTTTTTATTAATCTATAATTTCGAAACATTTTGAATATTTAATTGATATAATCGCTATAACAAAATGAAAAATAATTAAATATTTAATCGTACTTGAATGATTTTTTTAATATCATCATTTTTTTGCTGTAATATGTTTACGCTTTCTTTCCATTGATTAAACATTTGGCGATATTCTGTCAATGCTTGATCGTATAATGTAGTTGTTCGATTAAGAATAATTTCCATTTCTTGTGCTTCGTTAGATGTTTTAATCATTGCATCATTATATGTTTGTAATTCTTTGCTAAGCTTTTGCCTTTTTAATTCCAGTTCCTAACTTTTACAAAAAAGAAAATTTTATAATTATATTGTACAATTATTTTTAATTGTATTAAACTTTATTTAAGATTTATTAATTCCTTTTTTACCTTATATTCTTTTAAATCTTCTTTCATATATTGTTCTATTAATTCATTATTATTTTCATTTTCTTTTAATATTTCCTCCCATTCTTTTAAATTGTTTTCATCATACTTTAGAACATTTTTGGACGTTTCTATCTTTTTCGTCATTTTTTCTAATTCTTTTTCAATGCTTGATACTATCTCATTTACTTCTTTCCATTCTTTTTGAAAATTTCGCGCTTTTTGGCGAAGACTTGTTTCAGTATTACAACTTAATCGGTAATTATGATCTTCGGTTTTAAGTTGCGCCGAGTGATTAGTTAAAAGTTTTTGATTCATATTTTGTTCTGTCGTTAAATTGTTAATATGTTTTTTCATCATTTTAATTCTTTCCTCTGTTGATTCAAGTTTTATGCTCAAATTTTCTTTTAGCTTCATTTTTTTTTCAATCTTTCGATAAAAAATTATATCTTAATATTATGGAAAATTGAATAAAATAGGAATAAATGTATTAAAAATAATAAGTAAAATAATATTTCAAGTTGTTAAAAGTGCCATTATTTTTATTTTTTATTATACATTTAATTTTTATAAAAGAAATTTTTACTACTGTGCAAAAATTTATCATGTTTAAAACTAAAGTGCAATACAAACAAAAGAACTTAGATGCAAACGTAAGTGAAATTAGTATTATATAAATTATAGTATTACTTCTTCTTCTAATAGTTTGTTTTCTTCATTTGCTACGGGTATGCGAAATCCATTATTCCATCCTAATTCAGTTAAAACTGCATCGATGTTATTATTCGTAGTCATATTTAACTTTAATTCTTCTTTTAAACAAGTCTTTTAAACAAGTCTCTAAAAGATAAATAGATGCATTCATTCATCAAAGATATAATATATAAAAGAAGCGTTTATAATTTGCCGTCATGGTAACCATGATATGTTATATTGATAACAATAGTGCGTAAATTATAGCAAATTTATTTTATGATTATGAAAGTTTTGATATTTTTCTATTTTTTTATTTGTTTTATAAAAATGTATTTATTAATTTACAAATTATTATAATAAGTATATAAAATATTTTTATAATTAAGAATATAAATTTTATAATATATAATATAAATTATAATAATAATAATAATAATAATAATAATAATAATAATAATAATAATAATAATAATATAAATTAATTCCAAGTTCTTAGAGAAAGTTGTGAGAAATGTAATATAGTAACTTTATTGATAAGGTTACTTAAATTGATGAACTGCAAAATCTAGTGAGTAACTAGATATATAGTGAAAACGTGTTTGCTGTGTTTGACGTGAGACAAGAGTAAAAAATATTGGATAACAATGGCGGACGAAGAACTACCAGCGGGTTGGGAAAAACGTTTAAGCAGATCCACTGGTACGTCAATCTTTTTAGTATTCGTCAACTTATACAAAAATACTTTTACACAATTAATTATTTACTTTATTAATATTTTTTTGTCTAAGTTATGATATTTTTTTGTATTGGTTTAATAAGGAATGCTCGGCCGGCATTTTTCCGGCTAACTAATATTACGCTTGTTAAATTTTGTTATTATTAACATAGTTACTAAAAAATTATGGAAATTTAATAAATATATATATTGTTTTTTTATTTTTATAATATTAATCATTCATTAAGCTAATATAACACTAAATATATTAAAAAAAATGTATAATTTTACGATGTCAAAATTTTAAATAATTTTACGATTTAAGAAAATATCATTATTTTTATTTTTTGTAAAATAATAATTTATTTAATAATATTTTTTATAAAATATTTAATTATAAAGACGATAATATAAATTGGTATACCTTAATTTGTAATATATATATTATATTATATTAAAAAAATCCATAATATATTATTGATTAATATATTTTTATTATTAGGACAACATTATTATTTAAATATTTATACTAAGGAAAGTCAATGGGATAGGCCAGATAAACCAGCTGATCCATCTGGAAATAATAAGGGAGATGGTCCAGAAGAAGTTCAATGTTCCCATTTGTTAGTAAAACATTCAGGTTCTAGACGACCATCTTCTTGGCGAGAAGAAAATATCACAAGATCAAAGGAAGAAGCTCTTGAACTTATCAAATGTAAGATATCAATGATTCATTTTTTTAATTTTATTATATTAATATATATCATTATATAATTATAATTTTTTTATACATCTTTATAATTTTATATATAAAGCTTACAGAGAACAAATTGTATCAGGGAAAGCAACATTTGCAGAACTTGCTTCAAAATATAGTGATTGTAGTTCAGCTAAACGAGGTGGAGATTTGGGACCATTTAGTCGAGGTGCAATGCAAAAACCTTTTGAACAAGCAGCATTTGCTCTCAAAGTTGGTGAATTATCTTCACCAGTTCATACAGATAGTGGTATTCATATCATTCAGCGAACAGCATAAAATATACTAATCTCATATAAAATATTAGATACTTTAAAAAAAACTTCTCTCATTTTTGCTAATAAAATATGTTCACAAAGGTAGGAAATTTTCATAATTGTATTCAGAATCACATATGTTTATTTTTTTGATGAATAATTTTTTAAGGGCAAGATATAAATTGTATATTCTTTTCATAATTCAATGTTCAATTATATATTTATGTCTTCCAGCAATTTTAGCCGAAGTAGTATATTACAAAATTTTTATTTAATAATATATCATATGCATCTGCATACAATGAAAACAAAATTTTTAAAAATGATACAAGATAAAGAAGATAAACTTTATGTATACCTTTAAGAATATTTCCTATTCTAATTTATTAGTTTTACATTCCTTAAATGTTAGATACATTAGATTAATTGTTTTTATTGGTTTTTATTGTAAAATATAAAGTGTTTTATAAAGAACAAATATTTAAATTTCTAATCTTTTCCTTTTCTAATTTATTCTAATGTAACATTTGTTTCTTATATCAATCCAATGCATTAATTGAAACAAGTTTGGATATTTGTTAACGAATAAGTATAAATTATATTACAACAATAATCTCTTGTATTACAGTAAAAAATTGAATTTTCAATTAAATTGTTAAATAAATTTCAAGTAAAATAATCCAACTAAGATGAATTTAACATAAATAAAATATAAATATGTATAATTACAAACTTTTTGCTCAAGCACAGATAAATATTCATATTTTAATTTTAATATTATTGCAGCTTATTTTATAAATATACTACTTTTTATGACTCAGAAGACATTTATATACAGTTTAGTTCAAGTATATTTTTATTTTTCTTTTTCATAAAAATACGTAATCATCGTAGAATAATTTAATTTTTATTGATGTATACTTCAATTTTTATTTTAAACTATTTTTTTTAAACACTAAACAAAAATAGAAATATGAATATTTCTAGATTTTGTTAAATGTTATAAATGTATCATTATAAAGTACATGATTATTTAAAATCAATTAATAATAAATTTTGGTAAAAAAATACATTATATATACTACTGTATTATTTTAATATTTTAATTTAAACGACATATAAAAGAAACTTGTTTAGAGATTATAATTTTGCAACACTCAAGTTTTCTAGTCTTTTATTCATACTAAAAATTTGCTATATTTCTAAAAACTATAAATATTAAATAAAAAAATACATCCTATTTATTATATTAGATATATGTTTTATTATAATAATTATTTCTTACTATTTAGTTTATATATTTAGTTTAATCTATATGTATGTGTAAAATATGTATGTGTGAAATATTTTGTTTCTTATAGAAGATTACATATATTACAAATTAAGATTAATTCTAATCATAATGCAATGCATTTATCTAATTAACAATTTAGCACATTTAAATAATATTAATTAATGTATGGAATTTAAGTTTTTTTTATATAGAATTATTATATGAATATGTGTATTTATACACTGTTTTTATTAGGATCGTTACTTATGGATAAAATACTATTTTCTCAAAACTAATAGTCATGATGATAAATGCATTATATTAATAAATGTATTTAAAAAAGAAATTGCGAAAAGCAAATATATATAATAAACATTACAATGTAGTTATTCATTTCCTAAAATGAATAATCGAAGTTTTTTTTTTTTCATAATAAAAAAAAATTATAATAATTATGATTATAGTCACGTTTAATGTGACAATAAATTTAATGTCAAATTATTAATTTACTGTGTCTGTAATATGTTATCTATTATTTATATATAATGTTTTAATGTTCAGTATAACCAAAGGAAATCCGTTATTCAATCACTTCCCTTTTAGTTAGGAACCCCACATGAAACTAGTTTTAAATCATTATATAATCACAAGTAGGAATATATATTCACTAGGTACCAAGGGGTCAGAATATGATTGGCACAATAATGTAGAGGACGTTACTTACATATCTACAACGTTGTACCACGCTTTAAATATAAACGATTATCGCGGTTCAGTAGGTCAACTTAAAGTGTGATAGTCTTGTATTATGTATATTTTTTTCTAGATCACTTTCTTCTTACAAAACAAAAAATTAATTGGTTAGGAACATCATAGAGAAAGGATAGTGTAAAATACATTTATTTTTTTTATTTTTTTAAATGTATTTTATTTTATATATTAATTATTATTACGTATGAATTTATTTATTATCGAATTAAATGTTTTTAAAATGCATAATCATTAATAATCAATATAATTATTTAATAATTAATTTAATTTTCTTTCATTTTTTAACTAATTTGATAATTTATTTAAACAAATTAATCATGGTATTTAAATTCGATATTTATTTTTCGAACGATCTTATGATTAAAATTATATGAATACAGTATGTTTTATTGTTATAAATATAAAAATAAATGATATCAAACAAAAAAATTCTGAATATGATATGCTTCTGCATAAATATACACTTGTACCCTGCATTTATATTTTAATTGGTTCTAAAGTTACGAATGTAAGTATAATTAACGAATATGTATATATATATATATATAAATTTTATAAATAAAATTTTTCCATAATATAAATAAAATATATATGGTTAAATATAAAAATATATATAATTATTGTACATGATTAGCTCTACATAATTTAATAAATAGATATGAATTTAATATCAAAAAATGCTTTAACGTTGGTAATAAAAACGACGCAAATTGAAAGGATGTAATAAGTCAGGATAGCATTAATAAAATTGGATATCATTGGTCGTTAGATGAAATTGGCTACGTTGTACCAATAATGAGTATGTATGTACATTAAGATATATGTATACATACATATATGTATTATTATTATCGAACAATAAAAAATATAAATTTTAAAAATTATTTACATAAGTCATTTAAATTATTAATTATATATAAAATTGAATTCTATAATATTTTGGAATTATTATAAGATTATTTTTTAATATTTTTATTTATGTAAATTATTATATAAAAAAATTATTATATAAATTATTTAATTTATTTAATTTCATTTTAGTGAATAAAAATCACTAAATAAATAAAAAAAAAACATAATATCAATATTATTGAGTAAATTTTATAAAATAAAGATAATCTTGATTAAAATAATTTTAATCAATAAACTAATAATAATGTAATAATTTACATTGTATAATTATACAATTCATAATTTTTTTATCAAATAAGAAACATAATTCATTTTAAGAAAACTTAATTCTTTTCTTATATAAAATATTTTATATTTCTTTATAAGATGATTTATATGTCATTTTATATGTATTAATTATGATAATCTTTTTGAAAGTATTATTAAATATTTCTTATTTTAATTATTTATTTTATTTTTTCTTTTTATCATTATAAATAAAGTTTTTTTGATTTAAATGAATTCATCATTCTATACTA